GTATCTGAGAAAAGTCCACTATTGTGTGATTCAGAAATACAGATGCAACGTCCACGAAAAGGGAATGTGGAGTCAATGCAAAGGGAGTGGCAGGCAATGGAAGTCTCACAGCGCATAAGGCCAAAAGAGAATAGGAGAGCAACTAGCCTGTGAATTGCATCTTCTAGTACAAACTACGTTTGGTAACTGCTAGAAATAAGAAGGACGAAGGATAGGAAATGTCAGTCTGGATCAAAAGAAGACTGACATTATGATTCACGAGCTATAGTGATCATCTGTCACAGAGATATTTGGAAGTGTATCCTCTCTCAGATAGCCTTGACTGAACTCCCAAGAGTACAGCCGTGTATGAATACTTGGGAGGGGCCCTGAACGACTGATGATAAGATGACTCGTGTGAGCAAAAGGAATGGGCGCGTGTACCGTCAGAGCCTGCAGACGGGGCAGAAGGAGGAAGATGAAGACAGTCTTGGCATCAGTCACACCAAGAGTGGCGAGTACTTGAAGCGGAGGGAAAGTACTTCTGCAGTGTCTGCATAACCTCTCAAGGACCCCTCCTTGGGTCGAAGACGGGCTCGAGAATAGGCCCGCGTTGGCAGGGATCAAGACTGAGGATTAAGAATTAAACCACATCTCGTCAAGACGGAGCCGATCTCAGACTCTTACAGTGTGCCAAACACTTTGTCACTGAGCGTCTGTCTTCGGGAGAGTTGGACTCAGGTTCAAAGACCCAGTTGCATCTGTCCCGATGCATGTCTCGTCTAAGGTGGGAGAACACAACCAAGGATTCTCATCCGTCCGGGTAAACATGTAGCGTCAAGGAGCATTTCGGAGCACGAATGACCAAGTTATTGGGCTGACACAAAAAGAGAGGCCTATCAAGACATCCACAAAGAGCCACATCATGAGAGTATCACGCCGAGGTTTGACGGCACAGGAACAGTTGACAAGGATGAAGATGGCTTAGACGCTTCGATATAGCCCTCTTGAGCTTCCTGAATACACCGAACCGTCCAGAAAGTTGAGTAAACCCCTCAATGGGTCACCGTCAAGGCCGGGAGGCGGAGATTATCATGATGCCGAGTTGAAAAGTAAGTCTAGTTTTTGGAGGAAGTTGATGTTTCAAGGTATAGATGGTAGGTACCTAGGTAGGCGTGGATTGTCGTTGACAAAAGTCGGGGCTTAGCTTCATGCACGATTCGTATAGCATACCCTTGTCGCACTTGTCGGCGTGTAAGAGGAGGAACAGTACGTTTAGGGCGATCCAAGCGAGCGATGAGGCTCAAAGATGAACACTGACGCATTAACCTGGGGGTCATGACAGACGGGCAGAATCACAGGCTGACCCCTGTCAAATCGCTATACGAATCGTGCATTAGCGTGGTGCTGGTGATTGGCCTTTGGGGATCTCTGGGGCAGATGGGCTAGAGGTACCTGATGCTTTGCACAAGACTTCTGCAGAACAAGAAGTACCTCAATTTCCAGGCGCGTGGATCGCCTGTCAGACCTCTCCTATGATTGGCTGTGTCCCCTGAGGGAGATTGCTCCGAACGGCCAACTGCAGCGCGCCAATAGCACAACACGTTTTCTTATTCGGATTCCCCATCGCGATAATTGTACTTGGGGGGGGGCCTTCACTGCAAAGTGGCAACTTTAGGTGTTGTTGGCAACACGCGCCCCCCCCTCCACCAACTTTTTTCCTTCTCTCTCTATCTCCATCTCCATCGTTTGGCTTGTTTTTGGGTCTCTTTCACTTGACTCTTTTCCTTTCCTTCTTGTCGGGATATCGGTGTCATCGCCAAACCTACCTTGCCTACAGCGGATACTGTCTGTCTAGGTACCTAATTAGGCATTCCTACTTAATGCCCTGGTCTTTTTCACTCCAAGACATTGTCACCGCCCCCTGTTCCTGTTCCTGTACTTGTACTTGGGTTTGTTTGCTTTGATTTGCCGTGCCGCCGTCCACAGCTGCATCTCTGGCTTTTCAAAGTGCATCCGAGGCGTCTAGTCCAATTGCTTCTTTCTGTTGTCTTGCGCACTGTGGGAAAAGGCACAGTCTTGAGTCTGGGTCATCACAGCCTGATTGACGGTTCAGTCTCTCCGGACCTGGCTCCAGCTTCTTAGTGTCTTTCTTGGTTCTGCCTCTGTTCAATTGTCCATTGGGTATATAAAGGCTCTCCCGAGCCCTTCCTTCAAGATGTCTTCGAGATATTCACTACGCCAAACTCCCAGGTTTGTTTGCTCCTCTATTCCTCAATCTCAAATTGTCTATCGTCTTAGGTAGCTAACTTTGCGCCTCCAGGAAGAAGGAACTCTTCGAGGGCATGGTTAAGACCCCTATTCGTCGCTCACGTTCAAATCGCCGCCAGACTTCTCAACCTCTCTCAGACGTTGAAACCGAGTCCAACTCTGCCGCTGAGACTGTCTCGCGACCCACTCGCCGACGCACCGCTAGGTTCACCGAAGAGCTCGACGAGGACACAGATTCCGACAACATGGGAGCTGTCAACAGAGCCTACAATGGCAAGACCAACGGCCATGCCAATGGCCATTCAAATGGTGATGTCACCAATGGACATGCCACCAACGGTCATGCTACATCCAACCATGTTTCTGGCGCTGCACCGATCAATTCAGTCATGGAGAAGACCGAGGGCGTCCCTCAAGACCCCAATGTGGTTGATGGTTGGAGGCCTGGTCAGGATTCCAAGGTTGACTACTCTGGAGAGTTCGAGTTTGGCGGTTCTTTGGGCACCGCTGCCATGATGGTACTCTTCCCTATACTCATGTGGTATATGTGGATTGGCGCCACTTACTATGATGGCAAGTTTCCCTCCCGTGCCGAGGGTCAGTCCTGGGGCGAGTTCGCTGCTCACCTCGTCAATCTGGTCTACACTGGCGCATACCCCCGCCTCCAGGTCTGGGCATGGTATTGGTCTTATCTCGTTGTTGAGGGTGCGTTCTACTGCCTCCTCCCCGGTGTCTGGGGCTATGGTAAGCCTCTTCCTCATGAGGGCGGCAAGCAGCTTCCCTACTACTGTAGCGCCTACTGGAGTCTTTACACCACTCTCGCTTGCCTTGCCTTGCTGCATTTCTCTGGTATCTGGCCTATGTACACAGCCATTGATGAGTTCGGTCCTCTTCTGTCTGTTGCTATCCTCAGTGGCTTCCTCGTCAGCTTTGTGGCCTATTTCTCTGCTCTTTGGCGTGGCAAGCAGCACCGCATGACGGGCTACCCCATCTATGACTTTTTCATGGGCGCTGAGTTGAACCCACGGTTGTTCGGCATTCTCGACTTCAAGATGTTCTTCGAGGTTCGCATGCCTTGGTACATCCTGCTCATCCTCAGTCTTGGCGCCGCCGCTCGTCAATATGAGCAGTACGGCTACGTCTCTGGTGAGGTTTGGTTTCTCGTCATGGCTCACTTCCTCTACGCCAATGCCTGTGCCAAAGGAGAGGAGCTCATCATCACCACCTGGGATATGTACTATGAGAAGTGGGGTTTCATGCTCATCTTCTGGAACCTCGCTGGTGTTCCTCTCTCTTACTGCCACTGCACTATCTATCTAGCTAACCACCACCCTGAAGTCTACCGCTGGAACCGCGGCATTCTCGCTGCTATGTTCGCTGGTTACCTCTTCTGGTACTGGGTCTGGGATAGCTGCAACAGCCAGAAGAACCGCTTCCGCGCTATGGAGAAGGGCAAGTTGGTCCTACGCAAAACCTTCCCCCAGGTCCCCTGGCAGACCATCCACAACCCCAAAACTATTGTCACGCCCCAGGGAACTATCCTGGTTGATGGTTGGTATGGTCTTGCTCGCAAAATTCACTACACTGCCGATGTGTGGTTCGCTGTCTCTTGGGGTCTGATTACTGGCTTCGAGAGCCCTTTCCCCTGGTTTTATCCAGTCTTCTTCTGCGGTATGATCGCTCACCGTGCTGCTCGAGACATCACCCGTTGCCGTCGCAAGTACGGCGATGCTTGGCTCGAGTATGAGCGACGTGTACCTTACCTCTTCATTCCTGTGAGTTCCCACCAAAACGTTACTTGAAAACTGATGCTAACAATCTCTTAGTACGTTATCTAAGAAGCCTACGAGGCCACTCGGGAGCAAGTTAAACTCGCTACCGAGGGACACTTAGTGCTATATATTATTCTTAGTCAGTGGCTCTTGATGCTGCATATTATTCTCAGTCAGTGGCTCTTGGTGCTGCTAGATGTTTTTGGTCAGTGGAAATGTGTACAAGGAAAACAAAAGCCGGTATGATGTCTAGGAGACGAAAGGGGAAACCCACGAACGAAGAGATGAAGAGACGTAATACGAAGGGGGTATATAACAAAACTGTAGACACCAGCCTCTAGTGGTTTGTATAGGGTGTCAACTTGCTTTGTGAGGTTCTTAGACCATGTAATCTTTTACTTGCTCGCATCTGCATACTTTCATGAAGCGAGTATACTATAATAAATTGCTATTTGATGTCGCAACGACTTGGCCTGTACCAGTTGTATCAGGAGTTGTACCATGCCCGCCATAATCGGTTAAGTAAGTGATTGTTTCAGTAGACCTAACAATGTACAAAGGGACGTATGTTAAGTTCCGGTACATAAAAACAATTGGCAATAGCATACACTAATACTCGAGTTCCCTTCACCGTCTATGATGAGAAGCCACCCAGAATAACACGCATGTTGAGAGTATTTTACAGAAACCATCCTCCTATTTCATCCCAGCCCCTCTTCTCCCATAATAGAAAACAAAAACAGTAGCTCAAGTCCATTATTCCATTATTGCGCGAAAAAGGGGCAGGTATGAACCGTGCCAACCCAACGCCAGCGTTCACAGCCCCTCCTGCACCGTCCATGTTCGGGACAAGGAGTAAGGAAAGTTGCAAGCGCTATTAGTGTTCATTCAGTCGACCATACCCTAAGCAGCTCTTATGATTTGAGTTCGATCTTGTCAGACTGTCATTCAAGGCAGGGCTCCTGTTCCTTTGTTGATTTAGCATACAGCATCGACGTTGGCCTTGGAGTTCATGAGGAGGGCAACGATGAGACCATAGAGACCTGTTTCATGTTAGCTAACTGAAAATGTCGGATTAAGCAACCAGGACGTACCCAAGACTTCGGCGAAAATGAGAATAAGAATCATGCCGACGAAGAGACGGGGCTGCTGGGCAGTTCCTCGAACACCAGCGTCACCAACAATACCAATGGCAAAACCGGCAGCAAGTCCAGCAAGTCCAACGGAGAGACCAGCACCGAATTGAATGAAGCTAGTGTACAGAGGAAGGTCCTGCTTCAAGCCATCGGAGATAAGCACGGAAACGACGAGACCGTAGATACCAATGATACCAGCCATAATGACGGGAACAATGTCTGGGATAAGTTAGCATCGCACAGTTCGTGAGGATTGAATCCCGAGGGCCGCGTACTCTTGACGATCAAGTCGGGGCGAAGGACACCCATGGCAGCGATACCAACACCCGACTTGGCGGTACCGTAAGAGGCACCGAGGCAGGTGAAGACAATGGCGCAGGTGCAGCCCATAGCACCAAAGAAGGGCTAAATTATCGTTAGCGATCTGAAGTTCGATATAGAGTCGATGTCGTCGACGGCCTCACGATGGAGGTCTGGGCGTCGCGAGGTGACGTCGACGGCCTGGATGACGTGGAGGACTAACCGAGTAAACGGGGCTGTAGGGACGCGCATGTTAGCTTCAATTATCAAGAAGGATGTAATGCGAGGCCATTCCGATAGCTTTTCGCGTTGTGAAGCGATGCCTGAAGCTTCCGGTGATGCATAGGGAGCTTGATGATGATGGGGGCAAGGGGGCGCGCAAGCACATACCAAAGTTCGCTAACCATCTTGACGGTTGTTTATCTGAGGATGAAGCAGATATCAATGGTACAATATCGCTTCAGAAGGCGTATTGAGTGATCGGAAGACGAGCTGAGCTGTCGGGAGATGAAGTCGTTGGACAACGGGAATCGTTTGCTTGGGGTTTGAGACGAAGATGTCGAGGTGAAGGTGTGCTTGTTAAGGTCTCATTCCAGGTTGGCGTCTGGTTGGCGGCAAGGTTTTGCTGTACTCTATTGGGAGGGAGAGGCACGGGGAGCATTACATAATGCACTATGGGGCGGTTGGTGTTTCGGATAAAAGATGGGCCAGCCAAACTGATCTCTGACTGGTGGACTCGAGACAGGAGAAGCGGGCCAGGGAAGCCTCGCAGCAACAAGCCACACAAGGCTCAGTGCGCCACATATGAATTTTTCTGCCGCCTTGGCGCATATTGTCCAGCTTCTTCTCTTTTTTTCTTCTTCCTTCTTGACTTTGTCGATATATCGCCAACCACATTCTCCGCCAACCTCACTTTCAGTCCTCAGGGCGAGCCAACGCAAGGAACCCTGATACTCATCCCATCCTGTACGCTACCTCGACTCGACTATCCTCAAATTCCAACAAGGATCAGCCTCTGCCACCGATTAAAACCTTTCCTCAAAAACCTCGGTCTAATCTTTCACAATGTCTGAGAGTGCTGGTATGACCAATTCCCTCGCAGCTCTTTTGTAGCCATTCACTGATATGCCGGTAGCTTGGCCCCTTGCCGATCAGAAGCTCGAGCAGGAGCTTCTCGATCTTGTTCAATCTTCTCAGCGTAAGTGACTTTCAACAAGGCCCAATCCAGGCCAATTCGCTAACGCACTTCGCAGATGCCCGCCAGCTGAAGAAGGGAGCTAACGAAGCCACCAAGACCCTGAACCGTGGTGTCTCTGAGCTCGTCATCCTCGCTGCTGACACTCAGCCCCTCGCCATTCTCCTCCACCTTCCTCTTCTCTGCGAGGACAAGAACGGTAAGCGCAATTGGTGATTCTCATGCAGTCTGGGTTGGTTGCTAACTTGTGCTCCATAGTCCCCTATGTTTACGTTAGCAGCAAGATGCACCTCGGCCGTGCCTGTGGTGTCAGCCGTGCTGTCATCGCCGCCAGCATCACCAGCAACGACGCCAGCGAGCTCGCCGGCCAGATCCGAGCCATGCGCGACAAGGTTGAGCGCCTCGCTATCTAAGATACCCTACGACGAGGAGGAAAGCAAAAGATGGAAAACATTTTCATCTATGGTCAGACAGTCCTTGAACGACTGTTTGTTGCTACTCAGATTTGTTTCCAAATTTTTGATGTTCTGGGCTTATCTGGTGCAATAATTGGTGTATGACATTGAGTCCTCCTGGGTATAATAGTAATATCATCAACTGTCTATCTTGGCGAAACCAAAAGATGTCCCAAGCATCTCTGAAGCCCAATACGAAAACGAGCCAGAGCGGATATATCGCAATAATTTCTATATGCGAATGCTATGTCGGCGGCTATTCTGCGCTAACTATGCTATAACGGATGCAGCGAAATGCTAGGTTATGACGTCTCCACCACCAAAAAAAAAAAAGAGTGAACTGATGCGGTCATATTAAGTGTAGTAATTAATAGCCGCTCATTACGATCCTCCCCTTCCCTTGGGCAAGCTGCAGCTCGCCCAGTTCCTCCTGCAGCTGCCTCGTAACCTGTCTCGTTTCTGTCTACTACCTATTCTTTCCAGACCGCCAATCTCTGATCTTGCTTCCCTGTATTTAGGTACCTTTGAATGCCTACCAAGTGCCGTCGATAAGAACTACGTGCCCCCCCCCCAATGCCATCCATTGCTCGCAAGCTCCTCATCTGCGCAGCGATTGATGGGCTTATAATACAGCCACTCTCTTCCAAAGGCCAACGACCTTTTCAGCCAGTCCGACTCAAATATGGCGACGCCTCAATCTCTCACGTTCCGCGTGAACATGTCCCTGACGATTCTAGGCCAGATTCTTCTTTTGAAGCTTTTGGAGTGATTGGTATGACAATGGATGGCCCTGCGCTTACGACATGTAAGACTCAAGACTGACGGACACGACAACTGTAGGCATTATTGCAGTCTCGAAGTTAAACTATCTTGTTACGATCACACGGCGCCAACAAGTCGCACAAATCTGTGGCCACCCCATCTATGTCGTTACCGAAGTCGCCCTTACACCATGCACATCCAAAGTCAGCGCTGAAGAATCAATAAGGAGGACCTCGGGCCACCTATCACGCCAAGCACAAGACTCGGAGAACGAGAGTGATAGTAGCGATGAAGACGTTGAACTGCCCTCAAGAACGTCAGACGAAGTGGAAGACGCCGTTGTTGAGGACGAAGATGCAAGGCCTGGGTCGGCTAGAAGCCGCGTCGCTGAAGATGTCATTCGCAGGAGGGGCAGCTATGGGCGGTTCGCCCAACGTTGGTTCAGTCGAAGTGGCTGGACTTTAGATCAAAAGAGGAATATGGGTTTGAGCAATTCATCCAGCGTTCCAGAAAATAATGCTCCTGCGACTGAGTCATCCTCAGAGGATACGGAAGAGGGGCTCGATAAGGTCGTGACCAAGGAGCCCGAGTTATTGCCAAAACTTTTGCGAACCGCCCATGTTCTCTTTGGTTCATCGCGAAGTTTCTACTTCTCTTACGACGTCGACCTTACTCGCTCTCTAAGTGACGGATCGATACCCCCGAACAGCGAGAGCCCTCTCCACAGCCAGGCAGACGAGATCTTCTTTTGGAACCGGAATCTCCTGAAACCCTTCCTATCAAGCGGGCAAGATTCTCTGGCATTGCCGTTGATTCAAGGATTTGTTGGACAGAGGACCTTCATCGTCGATAGTCAGCCTCCCCAGAGCGACGATACTGGCAAAGATTCCGTCGAACTCTCTAATCTGTCATCGTTGAAAGAGCTACCAGCCTCTCCTCAAGTTCTGAGTTCCAGGGCATCCATAGACCTTCGTTCTTCGGAGAGAAAGTATTTAATCACTGTGATATCGCGCCGGTCCACAAAACGAGCTGGCTTGCGGTATCTGCGTCGTGGCATTGATCAGGATGGTTATGTTGCAAATATGGTTGAAACCGAACAGCTTCTTTCCACACCAACGTGGGATCCATCTTCAAAGATGTACTCCTTTCTACAGGTCAGAGGGAGTATTCCCCTATTCTTCACACAGTCGCCATATGCTTTCAAACCTACTCCTATTCGGCAACACTCTGAGGAGGCCAATCAAGCTGCGTGCCGCAGTCATTTCAAAAGTCTTTCCAGAAATTATGGCCACTTGCAGATAATCAATCTCGTCGAAAAACATGGGGTTGAGTCCATCATCGGTTCTGCATATGAGACAGCCGTGGAAGAAATTAACAAGAATGCCAGCGAAGATCAAAAATTATCTTTCGAATGGTTTGATTTCCATGCTGCTTGTAGAGGCATGAAGTTTGAGAATGTCAGCATGCTGTTAGATCAGTTGAGGGACAAGATCGAGAGCTTTGGAAGCACTATTCAAGAAGACGGAAAGCAATTGGCTCGACAGCAGGGTGTTTTCCGAACCAACTGTATGGACTGCCTTGACCGAACCAACGTCTGCCAGAGCTCATTCGCAAAGCATATGCTGGAAGTTCAACTCAAGGAGGAAGGCTTTGACATGAGTGCGCAGTCTGACCAAGTGACTGCTTGGTTCAACACCCTCTGGGCGGACAATGGCGACGCTGTGTCAAAACAGTACGCATCGACAGCAGCGATGAAGGGCGACTATACAAGAACACGGAAGAGAGATTATCGTGGTGCGTTGAACGATTTGGGTCTCGGTCTTGCTAGATACTATAGTGGGTATGTATTCCAAATCCTCCTTCTTGACGGCTCAACCTCTTGCTAACCAAGTCAGCATGGTCAACGACTACTTCAGCCAAGCAGCCATTGATTTCCTCCTCGGCAACGTAACAGCCAAAATCTTTGAAGAATTTGAGAGCGACATGATGACGAAGGATCCAGCGGTATCCGTCAACAAGATGAGAGAACTGGCCGTCGAACTATGCCAGAAACGAGTTATAGCCGATGAGAAGGAAGAGTTCCATGGCGGCTGGGTTCTCTTAAGTCCTGCCACACCTGATGCTATCAAGTCCTGGCCACTCGAAGAGGTTGTTCTGTTGTTGACAGATGCAGCTCTCTATTCATGCCGTTTTGACTGGAAGTCTGACAAGGTATCCTCGTTTGAGCGTGTCGAGCTCGACAGCATCACAAGCATCAAGTACGGCACTTATATTACCTCCACCATCTCCCTTTCCCACACCGACGAGATTAGGAATGCCGGGTTTGTGGTGACATATAGCCCTGGTAAGAGTGACATCCGCCGGACCAACACGCGAACCTTTTCAAGTCGCGGCGAGATGACGGGCAAGGAGAATGCTACCGAACAAAAGGATGCCAGCATTCCCGCCAGCCTAGCCAACTTGCTTACCAGCAAATCCTCTTCCTCTTCTTCGTCGTCGCCAAGCATTCGCCGCCTGGTCTTCAAGGCGACAAATGCGGATTCCTCTGTCGCTATTGTGGGCGATGATGGTCCTAAGCAGACAGAGACTCAGCAGGTTACCACCATTTGTGGTGACATTGAGCGACTGGCGCTGGAGAGACAGGTGGAGCATCCGGGCGAAGAGAGAAAGAGGCTTGTCGAGACCGGCCCCATCATTTCTCTAGAGGAGGCCAAGAAGAACACAGGACTGTTAGAACAACTAGGACACTCACTCAAGAAGATGGTGTGGGCTTGATAGATCCCGCCATCAACGAAACAGCATAAACGATCTATCCCCATATAATACGCTATGAATAATGCAAACCATAGATATCACGATAAATCTCAAGCTGGTGTTTTTCTCAATCATGGCTTTTGTAAGCGGTACAAGTGCATCTGGTAGCGCATGTTCTCGAGCGGGATTGGATAGGACAAGCCTTCTGGTAGACGAAACCAGATGGAGTCACCCGACTGTA